TTAAATATATATATATATATTATATATGGTGTGTGTGTGTGTGTGTGTGTGTGTGTGTGTGTGTGTGTGTGTGTGTGTGTGTGCGTGTGTTTATATATAATATATATAGTATATTATATATATATATATATATATAATATATATATATATATATATATATATATATATATATATATATATATATATATATATATATGTATATATATATATATATATATATATATGTATATATATATATATATATATATATATATATATATATATTATATATATATATATATATATATGTGTAACTATTAAATGATATATAAAAACCATATTTGTATATATACATACATATGTATATATATATATATATATATATATATATATATATATATATATATATATATATATATATATATATATATATATATATATATATATATTTGTTTATATATATATATAAAAATACATATATGTATGTATATATATATATATATATATATATATATATATATATATATATATATATATAAATATTTCCGACCCTCACTCTCCCTCTCTCTCCCCCCCACCATCTCCAGACCCTCTCACCACTCTCACTCTCCCCCCCACCATCTCTCTCTCTCCTCCCCCACCATCTCCCCTCTTACCCTCCCCCCTCTCCGCACCATCTTCCTCTCTCACTCTCCCCTCTTCTCCCCCCCACAGCCATGGTTTCCCCAGCAACCACCAACATCTCTTCAGCCGACGTCCTAGAAGGTTCCCAGCCAGCAACAGGGGCTGCGGTCGTGGTGGCAGAGGCGGCAGAGGGCAGGGGCTGGGTCGTGGTGGCAGAGGCGGCAGGGGCTGGGGTCGTGGTGGCAGAGGCGGCAGGGGCTGGGGGCATGGTGGCAGAGGCGGCAGGGGACCTCCTGCGGTACGTCGCCGACAATGGGACTACAGCTGGTTCCTTCCCTGCCACAACGACCATGAACAGAACTTTGGTGGACAAGTTCGACTCGCGGCTGCTGTGGTATGAAGACTATATCGTCGGGACGCTGCTTGTTAGTGTCGGTGAGTTGTTTGGTTGTTGTTGTTGTTGCTGTTGTTGTTTGTTGTTGTGGTAATTTTCTATATTACCTTCACCTCACCGATATCGACGATTTTGGTATCGTTGGATTCCTCTCACTGTCTACATTCTAAATATGTAGGTTTTTAATGCGCGGAAACAAGTTAACGAGAAACTTGGCCCCGATTGCAAGGGAGGGCATGGAAGGTTCTAGAGAAAATCGAGCTAAATAACACAAATAATATAACCCACAGTGAAAATAATCATGGTTATTCATATGACTTTCCATTGCAGGGGCTGCCGGCCTCCAACCCCCGCCGAGGAAACAAAACCTCCACCACGTATTCACGGCAGGCAAGAGCGTTACACAATTCTCGTCGATCGCGGAGCGGCGGACGTATTACATTTACCTCCTAACATTCCCACTGAATCAGCATACAAACCTTGACATAGTCAGCATGTATACACACGATTGTAGTATAATCAGGATGAACAGAGTATACCATGAACAGAAGAGCGCCCTCGTCGGCGGGTTTTGCGCCTCTCTCGATGTTACACCGATGGCCTCAAGGTCGAGTTTCCCGTCCCCTGGAACCACGATTTTCGAAATCCTAACCGAAATAACCGTCGCATTCAGTACTTCGCCATGGCCGCCGCGATGACAGTGTGTGAAGGAGCACGTGTGCGCTCTATCCTGCCGTGAATACGTGGTGGAGATTTTGTTTCCTCGGCGGGGTTGGGGCGGCAGTGAATAACCCTTCACTGTGGTTTAAGTATTATGGTAATTTTCTCTATTACGTCCGCCGCTCCGGCCGCCGCTCCGACATCGTCGCCCCCGATATAGTGCCCAAGTTTGCCGCTAATAAGGGGTTTTCGCGCAATAAAACCTGCATATTTGGATTGTATAGAGTGAGAGGAGTCCAACGATACCAAAATCGTCGATATCGGTGAGGCGAAGGTAATATAGAAAATTACCGTTGTTGTTGCTGTTGTTGTTGTTGTTGTTATTGTTGTTATCATTAGGATTTTTTTGAAATGAGCGACTCATATCATTATCATATATTTTTTTCTTTATTGAATCGCGTTATTATCAAAGCCAGTTTCACTATCGAATCAAATGATTATCATATTGGATCATTTTTATAATCATTATCGCTTTTATCATTAGTACTACTGCTAATACAGTTATTATAATTATTATTGTCATTATTATTATTATTATCATTGTTGTTGTTGCTGTTTTATTATTATCATTATTTTTTACTGTAATTATCAATGATGTTATTATAATCATAATTATTATTATTATTATTATTATTATTATTATTACCATTCTTCTTACTATTATTATCATTATTCGTATTCTTATCATTACTATTGTTATCAAGATTATTATCATTATAACAATGGTAATAATAATGATGATAATGACAATAATAATTGTTATCATTATCATTACTATTATTATTATTATTAGTGTTAGTATCATCATTATCATTATCATCAGCAGCATTATTAATGTTATCAATAATATTATTATTATTATCATTATCATTTTTATCATTATTATTCATATTTTTACAATTATTTTCATTATTATCATTATTATTTTTAGTTTTTCAATTATTTTCATTATTATCATTATTATTATTTCTATTGCTATGATTATCAATATCAGTATGAGCATTATTCTTATTATCACTGTGTTATTATTATTATCATCATCATTATTTCATTATTCTATTTTTATCATTCCTATC